TTAGTTAAAATAATAACAACAATTTTCATGTTGTATTTTTTTCTCATTTGTAAGAGGTGTCACATTACATTACGGTAACTTTTTTATTTGATTTTTGTTTAAAAGCAGAACACAGCATGTGAACTAGTTTTTTTGTTTTATTGTTATTAATTACCAATACTTTATCGTCGAGTAGAATACTTGTACTCTATATATATTCGTTTTCAATACCTCTTTGTAATTCACCAAATAGGTCTATTGATGTTAAAGTTTGCGCACCACACAGTATACTATACCTACATAATTATATATACATAGTTGCAACCACAAAGCACGTTGCAACTCTGGTTGCAATTTGCTCGCAATTTGTTAATAGAACTCAGATTAGCACGTCTATTTAAAATAGGACTTAATGCGTCCATTACTTTTATATCTTAGTTGCGGAGTGAAATAATAAAATACCTAGCACTACTAGACTAGAACCTAGTTCCACGGTATTTTAAAAACATTAAAGGCAATTTTTTTATTAGTAATTTATCTATCCTTTAACGAGGGAAAACATAATTTCTGGTTTAGTTAGATTTAATTTTAATTTCTATGTCGAAAAAAGAAACATGTAAGTAATTCTACAAACCGGGTCGAGTTGTTAGAGTATGAAATTGCCATTCTATATAGAACAATAATATTATAGTACCTAAAAAAAACTATAGAAAACAAATACTTATAGAAAATAAAATTGTAATATGTTGTAGAAGAGCCATGTAGTCACTATCAAATTACTACGAAGATTTCGTAACAAATACTATTTTTCATTTTATGTATACGTTACTGTGTTTGCCTAAAGGTTAGTTTCTCTTACCAGTCCCAATATAAACTCACAAGTGGAGTTGTTTAACTTTTTTCAAGTTATTTGCATATTCGATCGTCCAGTTTGATCATTTTTAGGTTCTCTTTTACTATGGGCCATGAACCGTTTACACTGGGGACACGAAGCATTATGAACTCGGAAGATAGTGGTGTTACAAACGTGTCTAATAATAATAAAATATACGAGGAAATCTTCGCGTTCCAAGTTTTCGAAAAGTAACTTAAACTCACTGCGAGCCATTTTTTTCTGTAAAAATATCTATACAGCTGGCCGTCACTTGCCTTGGTTATAAAAAGGCAAGTGATGTTTTAGTAGCAGTAGAGCTCCTTGTGAAAGAGTTCGTCCAGGGAAATACTGCCACCTTACCTATTTCTGCCGCCCAGCATTAATGTAAGCATTACTGCGTTTCGGCTTTGAAGAGTAAGGGTGCTAGTGAAATTACAAGCACATGGGACTTGTCAACTTATGTCTCAGGGTGACGAACGCAGTGGCAGTGCACCTCCGATCTTTGCGATTTGAAGCTCTGAGTGGTACCTACCGTAAACCGACGTTACTTTGATCAATTTTGAAATTTAAGCGTCTGTAACGTCTGTAACTTTTGTCCTGTGATTTTTTTAAAATGTCGAATTAATGGTTTTATTAGTTCTCTATAAAAACGTTAAAAGAACAAACAATTTTTCAATACTGTTAGAACAAAAAAAAAATAAAAACAGCGTGATGAAAGTTATAATTGATTTGGGTTACTTTGAAACTTTAGCACGAATTTTTAGCATGAATATATAATATACATTAAGGCAAAAAAAATAATTCAAAATCAGCCAACAGGGAAAAACGTTTTTGTTGTTTTTATATCTTGGGGTATCCTTTGATCGCGTAAAGCTACCAAATATGACAGAACTTTTGTTTTAATTGAAGATTGTTGTATTTATTATACAAAAACTCCATAAGACATTATAAAGCAGTGATGCCCCTCTGATGGTTAGCATGCCGTCCACGATTTGACTCAATGCGTCTTCTGACCTGGCTTCTGAGTAATTTCGGAACCCCTTAACCGACCCCCTAACGGATCCCCTCACCGACCCCCTAACCGGCCCTCTTAACGGCCCCCTAACGGACCCCCTAAGAAACAATTTGTTTCTATTTGAAAAAATTTGTTCTAAGAAACAATTGAAACTAACAATTAAAACCCGTCAGGGGGTCGATTAGGGGTCGGTTGGGGGGTCGGTTAGAGGGTCCTTTAACCCACCCCCTCACCCACCCTTAACCGACCCCCTAAACGGCTCCCTAACCGATCCCCAACCGACCCCCAACCGAACCCCAACCCGCCCCTTAACCGACCCCCTAACCGACCCCTTAACCGGCCCTCTTAATGGCCCCGTAACCGACTCCCTAATCGACCCACCAACCGACTCCCTAATCAACCCCCTAACCGACCATTAACCGACCCCCTAACTGGTTTTAATTGTTAGCTTCAATTGTTTTTTAGAACGACTAAAAAAAATTAATCGCAATTAATTTAATTGCAATTAAAATCAATTCAATTGAAATAAATTAAAATCAACTTTTTTTTCAATTAAAATCGATTGTTTAATATGATTGAATTTCTGATGGAAACTTAATTGATTAAGTCCCCACACAGTTCTCAGGTACGGTATTATTATATAAATATGCTGTCAAATTCGGAGTAATTATTAGATGCAAGCGTTACTTTGCTGAAATCGATGTTAATAAAAATGGAAGTAACTTAGTTTGCTATTCCGCGAACCTATTATATTCAACAACTACTGAAGACGAGTCAGGTCATATTTTTGGTGTGTTATTATTGACTTTTGTCGCTGGGTTCGCTGAGTTCGTGGTTCACGAAGTATAGCAAACTATGTATAAGGTGTCCCAGAATCTCATGGCATTAAATATTAGAACAATCGAACGACTTTCGCCAGGCAATGTTAACTTGTCACATGTCAATTAAAAATATTAATTGTATGACATGGCTTTCTGAACTTTTTTCACTTGAAAATAACGATTTTGTAGCAATCATACTTAATCATAACTGAGAATCCGCTTCAATCTCAAGCAAAAAACATTGTATAATAATGTTTGTCGCAAAATCAACTACGAATTGGATGCATGCAAGTCACAATTCGCTGGTTTTGCCGATTAATAGTATATAAACTTGATCTTTGAAATTTTAACGAAGCCAAATCAATGCATGTGGTCAGTGGTTATTAATTTTTGTTGTATGGTGCTGGTCGGCAAAACTATAGTGTGTATACAAAATTGGTAAAAAAAAATGGCGTAAATGTGAGTTACTTCAAACTGCAAACGTAAATAAAACTATCACCCATGAAATTGATATATTTTTGTTTCATTTTAAAATGTGTCAAAAATTACTTACCTTTCCCACACACAAATTCATACAGAACTTAAAAGCAATAACTGGTTATGGTTAATTAAAATATATGAAATATCTTGTACATTTTTTCCTACTATATTGATGTTGCCCACTACAAATTTAAATTTGTCTACATGCCATAAAATTCTGGTCCACCAATATCTATGTAATTAGTAATTCAGAGTTTTCCGCGACTTTTGCTCTTGTCCATGGATTTTTTTTACCTAATGATTCAAACTAAACGTCAGTGGTGCCTTTCTGTCAGTCAGTGGGGGGGAGGGGGGCAAAAAACTATGTTTTTGTCTGTGGTTGTTAAGAAAGTAGTTGTTTTTTTTGTATTAAATTTCACTTTATATTTCCATTAAAATTGCGGATTAAATTACTTTACACGATGAATAATGCGCTGCAGTTCTCTTTACGTTGGAATAATTACGTTACACACGTGACGGAAGCGTTCAATGTGCTTCGTTTTGAGGACGACCTGGTTGATGTCACTTTGTGTTGTGATGGTGGCAAAATTAAGGCACACAAAATGTTACTGTCGGCGTGCAGTAACTATTTCAGACAGATATTTAAAGAAAACCCTTGCCAGCACCCAGTGATTATATTCAGGAATTTCAAATATGAGGATTTGAATGCGATAATCAACTTTATGTATCATGGTGAGGTGAACATTTTTCAAGAGCAGCTGGAGTCCTTTTTGATAACTGCTGAGTTTCTGGAAGTGAAGGGATTGACTGATAACATTGAAGATGAGGTTACTAAGAGTCAGTTGAGGGTTAGTGATAGTACGTCCTTAGATTTAAGTTCAAAGAGTAAAGTAGTTGATGATGTTGTGCCTGTATTGTCTGACGAGCCTATAAATTTGGCGACTATCCAACCTGTTAAAGAAGAGTACATTCCACAACCGAATACTAGCAGTGCACCTGATAAGGAGAATGGGAGCCCACGGCCAGAAGAGGCTAAAACAGATGATAGTACAAGCAGTAAACAAAAGCCAATTACGAACACTAGTGAAGAGATGCAAGTTGATCAGCAGTCCACATCAGTGGAGGATTTATCAGAGAAAAATAGCTCAGGTAAGTGGATGTTTATAAATTCCCTGTCATGAGTGAATTTTGGAAGCTATGTATATGTTTATATAATAACCTGCACACATTAAAAATAGGCAATGTAGCCAGAACATAGGGGCATCAAATTACACAGGATCCCTACAGTTGGAAAGTGTTACCAGAAGTCCTGAAACAGAGATATCAGTGGGAACATACCCCCTGCAAATTGGGGATGTCTAGATATTAGTTCTGATAGTTGTTTCTGAAACTCAAGGGATACAAGTTATTATCATATTATCACCTCTTATGGTATAAAACGGTATGGCATGGTGTAGCAGGCTGGTATCTGTGCTGTAATGGCTATTTTATGTGTAGCAGGTGTACACCTGTCCAACTTACACCTTCCAAGCTCCTCCAGAAACCATCTTCTCGGGTTTGCTGAAGGCTGTGCCTCCTACTACCTCCTACTACTACATGCACACTCTGCATAGAGTTACATTTGATGCCTAAATTGAAAAGGTGTTTATTATATTGACCATGATGCATTAAGAGCCCCCGCAAACTGCAGACTTTTAATCACCCAATAGTTTACTCGGTTCCTTAATCAGTATGAAGATGTACGCAAGTGCGCACATTATAACGATTCACTATTGGCCGATTAAAAAGTTTGATGGGCTACCCAATTGCTTTCAAACTTTTCTGTCAGCAAACTATCAGCCGACTGCTAATCAGTATGGCGCTCTTCCAAGCTCGCACATTTGCCGATTGTTTAGTCGGCTGACTGGGCCGATAGCTTCACTTCACTCGGAGCGACAGCGCAGGGCGGTCGTGTTATGATGGCAATTCTTCGCGAAACGTCTGTAGAAAATTTGATTGAGGAAGTAGAAAAGAGATCTGCACTCTATAAAAAGAAATTAAAAGAGTACTCTGACATGAATGTCAAGAAAATGCTATGGGAGGGAGTCTCTGAAGCTGTGGTTCCAGACTAGAATCAGCTTAGAGCCGAGAATAAAACAAAACATGGTACAATACATGTGTATTTTTATTTATATCAAAAGTTTTTAACGCTACAATTGGTACATTTTCGAATCTTCTAAATGCGGACGTTAGTACCATATCTTGCCACTATTTACCTGACTCTGCATCTGTTCCCTTATAGAGCCTAAACTCCTTCGCAATTGCTAGTCCAATTAATTTCACAAGTTCATTGACACTGGTTATGCTCATTCGATAATAGGCAAAACATTTTTTTGGGAAGTTTAATAATTTGGAATGCTTGATATAAAATTTTCCTTGTAATAATCTATCACTGTAGATGGGATGCACCCAATACTCTCTGTTTCTTTTCTTGATCCTTTTCCTCTGTTGTATAAAAGCAATAATAACATTTGTAGACCATTTAATTCACAACACTCCCTTCAAGAGCAGCTTACCAACTAGTATAATTTTTCGAGAGAAATCGGCCGACGGTATGCTAGTCTGCGCGCTCGCCACCGACCAGACTATTTAGTCGGTCCAGTGTGCTAGCAGCTCAACCCGACTAAACTATTGGCCGATTAAAAGTCTGCAGTCTGGGGTGGTTGTAAAAGCAGTATTCAGCATCAGACAGACAGCTCTTGCCTTTTCAGTTTAAGAGATTTTCAAGATAATAACATATAATAATAATATTATAAAAATAATAATAATAAGATAGACAGGTATTGAGCTGTAGTAAGGGTTGTTCAAATATTGTTATGTACCTTCGTGTATTTTTGCTCTTGACTATTCATTGAGGAGGGCCACTATGTATTACGGCCCTGCAACATATATCTTCAACGACTTCCAGTTGATCCATTGTAGGGTTACATATTATGTGCATATGCCTCCATAAATACACCACACTTCTATTCAAACTCTATTAAAAGTAGGCTTCCTATACTGAACCCATCAATAATAGTTTATTGGGCAGAGTGCACAACTTACAATTATTCCAAGCTCACAGCTCATGCAATGTCATGGTTCAAATACATATCAATACCTACTTATCAACATAAATTTAAGCATACCTATTCCATAAAATATACCTAACGTCTAATCTATTGAGGATATTTTATCTTTAGATACATTGAATTCCTTAACTAAAGACATAATAAGCATTTTCTTAATTCATTATTATTACCTTGTTTCAGAATCAGAACTCGCTAAGTTTCGCTGTCAACTATGTCCTAAAGGATTCAAGCATCCAACATCATTGACATTACATAAAGATTCGCATGCAGGGAAAACACAATGTCCAGTGTGTCACAGATCATTTTCACGTTCATATGATATGAGGAGCCATCTCCAAAGGATCCATCAAGGAAAACAACTGACAATCAAGGAAATCCGATACAAACATAGCAGTGAATCAGTTCCACCTAAGCAATTTACACATCATATTTAGCTTTAGCACTATGGTAACTAAAGTTACCATTCAAGTATGCACTTAGTGCAAATAGGTACCTATTTATAAAATTGTTGTAAAAGCTATTGATTTTACATAAAATTATGTATTGAAATTATGAATGTTGTATAATGTATTAATTCAATCAAATTATTTTTATTTATGAAATCTACTTTGTAAGTCACAAACACAAACTTGCTCATTTGTGTAGCTTAGGCTATTTTTGTACTAGTCTAATTACATTAATCGTTTTACAAAACATGTTTTTTTTACTATTATCCATTACCTACATACACATAAAATGTATTACATGCAGAAAAAAGCAATTTTTATATTATTACTTTAAGCCGAGGTATTTCAATGCGAGCCTAGATTTTAGGTGAGGTGTGGGGATTGCGCCTCGCGTCCCGCAATCCGCGCGGTGCAAATTAATACGAATACAATAAGAACAGGCGGGGAAAATTTGACAAAAATCCGACGTCGACAATCGCTCGATGGCGACTGTCGGGGCAGCGTCGGGTCCATAATCTGCTGGGCAATTTACAAATTTTGGGATAAATGTGAATTTAATAACTATATAATAACAAATTTAATATGGCTTCAGTTTAAATGAAAAAAATAATTGCATGTTCTCTGCAGCACTTAAAGAGAAAAATCTCTATATAATAATTGTGTGCAAAGTTAGATATTTTATTCTTTTTAGTCTGTTTTCAGGATTTTATTTGATCGGTTAACAAATTAGCGCATACTTTAAGACAATATCCATAAGTGGCTCGTATATTTTTTGTAAGGTATTTACAATTAAATAACATTGTAAATACTTAAACTGTTTTCCCCTTCACCTGTGACTCGCCTTAAACAAAATCAAAGAAGCAATTAAGTACTGTAGGGCTAGCACGATAAGGCACGACTTGCGCGAGAGCGATATATAGCGCTAGATCTCCATGCGAGAATAGCAGTATCTCGCGTTTTATGTCGCTCTCGCGCTAGACGCGCCCTCACGACAAGACTCACGTGCGCTGAACGCTTCTGACACCTCGTGATATTCGCTGCCAAGTAGTGTTTTAACGTTCATACTTACCATGAACACGAACAAAAAACTTTCAAAAATTACGTCACGTGATTTACCCCCGTAAATGTGTGTGCAAGTGTGACCGTAGCGCACGCGAATCCTGGCTGGGGCCTTACCACGAACTCTTATTACGGTTCAGTTTAGGACCTAAAATGAATCGTAGTGAGACAGCGCTACATGAAGTGTATTATTTTATTTATTTATTTATTTTATTTATTTATTTCTAATTACAACGGACACATCCAATTACAGTAATTAGCAGGTACAATAACAATAACAAAGTAATAATAATAATAGTACAAAAATATAAAATTTAACACATAGACAATAATTACAAACAGGTAGACTCACATTCATCATTCTCGCAAAACATTATACAATTATTTAAGATCTCCTTCCATCCATCCGCATACACATCACATTCAGGCTTATCAAACAAGAGCGCGTTGATTTGAGCCAGAATCCAACAAAGAGGGGAATGTGCACGTGCCACCGTGCGGGCGTGCGGTGGAGCAAACAAGCGACGGTGCGGCTGACCCGCCCGCCGCCGCAAGTACTGCTCTGGGACGTACAGGAAACTCAGTTGGTTGTGGAGATCAGGAGCATCAATACAACCCCGAAGAATTTTCATTCCTATTAAAATTTGATTTCTTGCTCTACGCGCTCTAAGGGAATTTAAGCCCAGAATTCCTAATAGAAATGAAGTAGGGTATAGATAGGGGTAATAGGTGTAGATGCGCTTGTACAAATATCTTAGGAATACCTTCTGGACTTTTTCTAGCATCAGGATGTAGGTGCTTTCATAAGGGTGCCACACGCAACTACCTGCTTCAAGTTTACTACGCACAAGTGTGTAGTAAAGAAGTTTAATAGTTCGGGGATTCCTAAAGTCACGACAATTCCGAAGGACAAAACCCAAACGTCCAAAACTTTCTTTCACCACGCATAACATATGATCATGAAATGTAAGTTTGGAGTCAAACATTACGCCTAGGTCCTTCGTTGATTCTAAGCGTGTAAGATCATCATTGCCTAATCTATATTGATAGCGTGTTCTAGACAGCTTTCTTCCGAAGGTCATAACACAGCACTTTTTAATGTTTAAATGCATCTTATTTTGTTCACTCCATTCAAGCACTGAATCCACATCTTGTTGCAGTAATATGCAGTCTGTTTGTTTCCTAATCACGAAGGCCAACTTTAGGTCATCTGCATACATAACACATTTTGCATTTTTAATAACTTGGACAAGGTCATTTATCATGATCAGGAATAACAAGGGACCAAGTATTGAACCCTGACTGACTCCGGAACGAGTGTGATAAGGTTTAGATATATAACAGCCATACTTTACATATTGTTGACGATCGCGAAGATAATTTGAGAATAAATGAAGCAAACGAGGAGCGAACCCTAAATTTTTTAGTTTACCTAGAAGGATATCATTGTCAACCCTATCAAAAGCTTTCCGGAAATCGAAGTACACAACATCAACTTCATGGCCTTTATCCATACTCTTCGAGATGTACTCCACAGTTGTTAATAGATTTGTTTCGACTGACCTTCCCTTTCTAAAACCATGCTGCTCATTGCATATCATTGTGTATATCACCATCCAGCTTTTTTGTCGTTACGAACCTATACTGAACTGTATTATGAGTACATAGTAAGGCCCCTGGTAGACAAAAGTTCTTGTTCTCTCGCTAGTTTTGTTCATTTACATTTTGTAGATTTATAATTATAACTAATACGACGCTGTTAGGCCAGGGGGCCTGCTCCCATTCTCCGTCAGGAACAATCACTCTCAAATATACAATACTCGACCAAATTAAAATACGCATGATGCCAATGAAGCGTCATACTTGACATTGTCTTTTGATTGAGTATTACTTAATTGACAGTAATTGTTTCGGTTAGATGAGAGAGTGGACTCCCAGAAACAGCGTACAAGAGTTTTTTTTTATGTTATCAAGTGACGGAACGAACTAGTTGTGAGCCTGGTGGTAAGCGACGCACCTGTCCATAACAGTTGCAGTACCACTTAAACATTTGCAGTACCACTTAGTGTTTTAAATCGCAAAGATCTGAGGGGCACTGCCACTGCGCCCGTCACCCTGTGACATAAGTTGATAAGTTCCATGTGCCTGTAATTTTACCAGCAGCACCCTTACCCTTCAAAACCGAGACGCAATAATTCTCATATTATTAATTGCTTGGCGGCAGAAATATCTATGTAGGTAAGGTGGAAGTATGTCCCAGGACGAACTCTTTCATAAGAAGCGCTGCTGCTACTTTTAGTAGACTCCCTGCAGCTTGAAGGCAATCAACCTTTCCCGATCGGAAACTGCGTCTTATCCGAGTCGAGGCGTATAATATTGCGGATGGGCTGCCCGATCGGGTAAATTCCAATTTGAATTAAAATCAGGGCCCCTGAACCTATTGTGTTCCTCCCTTACCAGTTGTCAAGAACTAAGAAATACACAAAGGTACAAAAACTTGTCATAACAACACCTGAATAACCCTTACGGTTGTAGACAGGATAAGGAAACACTCATAACGTCAGTTAATCTCGAAAATTTCTTGAGCTCAAAAGGCAAGAACTACGTATTCTAACTGCCGCCCTACAAGAACATCTTTTCAATTTAGGTACCTATCACGGACAGTCCTTTATGCAAAGCGTGCAAGGAGGGGAAGGAAATGGTCGCACACATTCTACTACAAGCTCCAGCGTGGCCAATTACAGATCGAAATACGAGATCGCTCCCCGAAGTCTTCGAGGAGGTTCGGTGGCACGAATTGGACCCTGCACCTATCACACGCAAAATAGGCGCCTAGACGTCGAGCTGCGGACACCAAGTAGTGATTCTACAAAAATTACGCAACATGATAGGTATAGTACTATAAGAACTATTGTACGATACAAAATTTTAAATTCTTTATTTTTTGTGCATAGTTTTTACTCTATAAAAATAGGTTAAAAACTATGGACAATCAAATTTAACTTTTTGGAAATTTTGTTTTTCTTGGCGCCGCGCCGTGCGCAGTTTTGTTCCATAACAAAAAACAATAAGAAAAAATGTCAACAAATTCTGGGAAGTTTCAGTCAATCAACATGGGGACAACTTGGCAGATTCAGATTCATCAATTCCTTATAATAATTCAGCTTCTTGTTGCGGTACAACGATTCTCCAAAGCAACAGTAGCCACGTGTCCAGTTTTATTAAAAAAAGAAGCAATCATCCGGTCTGAGGCACTTTGCACGCGCGCCACTTTTGTTGGTTTCGGCTCATCTCAAAAGAGCCATACGCTCGATTGTTGCTTTGTTTTGGGATCGTAACTATCCATGTTTTGTCACCTGTTTATTATGTCCCACACTAAATTTGACGCCCCTTCGTTGAATATGGTAAGCATGGCATTGCACCAAGCGACGCGATCCGTTTTTTGAGCCTCAGTCAATTTGTCCAACGAGAGCACAGCTTTTTCACACCCAAATCTTTGTGTAGTATTGGTATGTCACATGCCTGTCTGTTTTGATCATACGGCGCACAGCATCGATGTTTTTGTTGTTCACAGCAGTAGACGAGCGACCATCACGAAATTCGTCACTGAGATTCACACGACCGCGTTTGAATTCTGCAAACCAGCTATAAATAGTCATCTTGCATGGTGCTTCATTGCCAAAAGCAGTTTGAAGCCGAGTGATGCTCCGCTAAGCTGTTAAATTACTCTTAAAGTCGTAGAAAATCATACTACGAAAATTTTCACGAGTTAAATACATAGTAATGTAGACATCAAATTTCTAAAATGACGCCACAATGTAAAAACAAGTGACAGTCTTAGAATAATAACGCATAGAAACCTAGCCCGCACACGCTAAGTGAGGCAAGTTAGAGGGTTCCAAACGCGTCCCAGGAGCGCGCGGGCTGTTAGTGCTCAAGGTCATATTGCACCGCGAACAGCTCCAAAATTTTTTGCTAAAAATGACGAAATGTGCGGTAAATGGGTGTAAAATACAACAGACAAACAAAATAGACACTAACATCGCATTCCACAAGTAAGTAATGCGTTTCAACTCATATTTTTATGTAAATATTCACTAAAACAGAAAAATAATTTCGCGGCAACAAGATACGA